AAGAGAAATAAAGTTCTGATAGATGCAATGGCATGGATGTACCTTGAAAACATTATGCTGAATGAGATAAATCAGACACAAAAGGACAAAGATTGTATGATCCTGGTTATATCGTTACCTAGATCAGGCAAAAGCATAGAGACAGACGTTTATTGATGGTTACCAGGGGCTAGGGGCAAGGGATTCGGGGAGTTATTGCTGAGTACTGAGTTTCTGTTTGGGGCGATGTAAACTTTTTGAAATAGGCAGTAGGAATGGCAGCATGTTATGAATGTAATTAATGTTCCTGCCACATATGCTTTAAAGTAGTTAAAATGGCAAACTTTCTGCTATATATATTTTACCATGCTAGATTTTGGAATTAAAAAAATGCAAGTTGCTACTCAGTAGGCAAAGATTATCCCATTTTTTGTTTTTTCAAAAAAATTTAAAAACGCCTTTTGCAATAAAAACGATATATTCATGGGGCCTAGACAAAGGTTTAGAAAAATAAACACCAAAGTATTGACAGTGGTGGTCCCTGGGAAGTGGCAGTTGAAAGAGAGGTCATTCATGTTTTACTTGATACATGATAGCATTGTTTGAACTTTTGTCCATAACCATTTCTTATTTTTATCATTGTAAAAACTGCTATGGTGGCATTATCAGACCTCCCGTCTGTTTTCACGAGGGAAAAGAGAGAATCGCCATCATCTACATCAGCCCAAGGCTGATTCACATGAGGTGGAAGTCAGACATACCTCCTCTCTCCAACCTTTTTCCCAGTTCCAACACCAGCCGTCCCTCCCTCGGCACTCTTTACTTCTCTGCCGGCTGTGATAGTTTGTTGCAGTGGCCACACACAACTCAAAGACGATGTTCACAGTTATGGGTTATAACTTGGGATCACGCTTAGGAAGTATGTAGGCACAGTCTCCCTTCAGTGCAGGACAGCTCTCTCATCTCCTCTTGGCCCCCTCAAGAGAGATCTCCTTTCTTGGCCCTTGCTCAGGCCAGGCCTCTGCCCTACTTGAGCCAAGTGTGGAAAAGCTCTTCAACTCCACCGATAAGTACCCAGAGGCACGCCACCCTGCCAAGAAGCCTCCTGCCCACTGGTTCTCAGCGTTCTTGCTCCATGAGTCGGCATGTCCACTGTAACCATTTTCCTCCATGGACTGGGCAGCCCACTGTGCTGTCTTGGGCACTGCTGCTGTGCTGGCTCTGCTGTGGCTGTTTCTCTGCCACCGTTTCTCACCATGTTGCACTGTCTCTGGTGTTACAGTTCTCTCTTCTATGTCTCCTAGGCTTAGGAGGTTCTCAACAAGGGACCCCAGGTCCAAAGAATGCACTCCACTCCTGGCTCTTCTTTCCTGGTGGTAGTTAGGACTCTGTTTGCCCTGGAATTGGCTCTTTTTTAAACCTAGAGGGATGGCAAAACTGACCAGTCTCCTCATTAGTGTTCCAAACTCCTTATTTCCATAGTCCCACCCAGTCATTTTGTGGGTGTCACAAGATCATGATGAGAAAGGCCATAGTGAGAAAGGGAGTAATCACACCACAATAATCTTTACAGAACAATTAATATCACATAAACAAAGTGCGGACAACAACAGTAGCAAAAGCGTAGAACAAAGATTAGCACACTAAATAAATAAATACCTGCTTTATAAATCTTCAGGTTCTGATGTGCATCAGAAAAGTTAATGTGCTGAGCTGCAGGTTTTTTAGGGCTTTATCTCAGCCAAAAGACTTGATTAGATCTCGGTCTGGTTTGAACTATTGTTCAGCTTGTTCCTGCCCAAAATAATCAATCCTGCCCTTTCTTAGAAAAAAAAAAAAAAAGGAAAATTTATACTAACAGACCTGCTTGAGATACTCCTGGACACTTCTGGTGTTCCTATATGAGGACATGGTGTGGCTTCAATTTGGATGCATTTTTAATGCATTCATATTTCATGAGAAAAAGAATATTTCAAAGCATTTCCTTTGCTTTCACGGCCAGAATGTTTTATTTCTGTATTGGCATTTATTCATCTTTTGGGAAGTGATGGGCCAAGACTTCTCATTTATTCTTGCATATGTGTGTGCATGCATATGTGTGTATGTGTGCGCATGCACGTGTGTTTGTGCATGCATGTGTGTGTGTACATGCATGTGTAAAAGAGAATGAACTCCTCGAGGGCATAGGTTTCTGTCTTTTCACCAGTGTCTAGAATCATGTCTAGTACATTGAAGCTACACCATAAATAGTCATGTGTTAGGGCTATTAGTGTGATAATTATGTAGAATTTCTCTTTTCCTTTTACTACCTTTCCCAGAAACCACTTTGGTATTGATCTTCAAGAATCGCTTTTC